CTGGGCCAGGTTGTCAGGTCGGCGCCTGTTTCAGTCGGCAAGTCGGTGTCTGGGCCAGGTTGTCAGGCCGGCGCCTGTGTCAGTCGGCGGGTCGGTGTCTGGGCCAGGTTGTCAAGTAGGAGATATTCCTGCGATACGCCAAACTACTCTTTTGTACCGAGCTTCCCTACAAGTGGCGAGCTGCCCGGGGGAGCTATGCCGAGCTGCTTGTGGCGAGCTTTGCCGAGTTGCCTGGCTCCTTGGTGGCAAGCTCCTTGGAGAGCTGCCTAGCTCCTTGGCGAGCTCTTTGGTGAGCTACCGAGCTCCTTGGCGAGCTCCTTGGTGAGCTACCGAGCTCGCGGGGTATGCCATTATGGTTCATCGRTGGGCGTCTTATGGGTTGCCAGGTCGGCCAGGTCGGATCATGTGCCAGGCTGATCCAGCCAGGTCGCACGCAGGTCGTGCAGGCCGCGCCAGGTCACACACAGGCCGCGCCAGATCGCGTGCAGGCCGCCCGTAGGCCACGTGCAGGTCACGCCAGGCCGGTTAGACCGGTGCCCGGGTGGGACACCAACTTGGTAAGTTGTTGCCTGGGTGTTTGCCTAGTTGTCACGAGGTGCCACATGTCACAATTTCATTGGAGGGCCAAATCTGCCCTCATCAGTATCCATGTGTTTTCAAAGCATATCCGTGTCTATATCCAAACTATTACAATACTTTAATCCTTGACCAAAAAGGGGTAAATTCTATATTACTACCTTGTACTTTGGGGGTTAGTGCCTTAGTGGCAATCACCCCCTAAGCTTTCATTTGCTGCAAAAGCCCCCTAAACTTTTCGATTCCAATAAAGATCCCTTCCCTTACCATTTCATTTCATCAGTTAACTTGAAGATGAATCTCATGTGACCGACTATTTAAACTTTTCTAAATTCTCAAACTATCCTATTTTACAATCATTTTTAGCATTTTTATTTTAATTTCTATTTATTACTAGTTTAGTTGATATTAATTGCATGTTATGTTTGTTGCCATTTTAATTATTCAAAAAAGTTTCTTTTTGTTTTTTTTTTTTGCAATTTCCATTTTCAAGAGGTTATTTGCCATTACTCCCTAGTACAGGGTTGTAAACTGTAATTTACCCAGAAAAGGCTAATATGAAAGATGTCTAATGCTTTGGAATGTTTAATCAAACCAAACAATAAAATCAGAGAAAGATGTATTTTTTTTCTCCCTTTGGGCTCAGTTTGGAAAGAGTACTTATACAGATTTGTATAGTATTGCAAAGATGAAAGGAGGATTGTATATACACTTATCCAGCATATAACTTTGCATAGACCGTTGGAAAGGAGTTTGGATTTTTTTTTTTCCATGGCTATCAGCCAATTCAAATTGGAAGTTAGTTCATTTGACATAACTTTGCATAGACCATTGAGAACGAATCTGAATCTGCTGACTCTAACACATTGCTGGTAACATTCACCCAGCCACGTATATATGGAATCAACGATATTGATGAGCGTAGATGAATGTGACCAACAATGTGTTCTGGTCAACAGATCCGAACTCCATGTGTCATGTTCAGAAAAGTTTCTAACGGACTTTGTATGCAACAGCCTAAGGGTCTGTTTGATTTTACAGTTGGAATCAAAGTCCCTCTGAATTGAAATCGAAATGATCTATTCTCATTGATTCAGATTGGAATCAGTAAGGGAATTGAAAATTGGAACCATTCCGATTACAATTCCTGAGCCCTATTCCCACGAACCAAACGTGCCATAAGTTTTTATGGTACTTTCGTTCTCTTTCTCATTCGTATCATTTGTAAGGGATAATGGATTGATGGGATATTGGTTCTGCGACCCCCAAAAGTGAAAATTTCTTTTCTTCAGAAGCCTGGTTTCTACTTCATTAACAATTTAACATTTGTACTAGAAAAACCTTTTTACAATTTCTTCTAATTAATCTACTTTCCCCTATACCCAACATTTGAAATTTGAAATCTTCTCAACCGGAGTTACTCCCAGAAATTAGTCGATCTTAACTTGCAAGACGACCTTCCTCTCCTCTTCCTTCACCTTCGGAACAATAACCTTGAGAACACCATTCTTCATCTCCGCCTTAATCTGATCAATCTTGTACAGCTTCTCAGGCAGATCGATCCTGCTACTGTACCTTCGCCCGCTCTTCTCCTCGTCAGATTCTTTTTCCCCTTCTCCCTTGATGATCAGAGTGTTCTGCTCCACAGACACCTTCACGTTTTCCTTCCCCAGCCCTGGCATGTCCATCCTCAGATACAGAGCATTCTCATCTTCCTTCACGTCCCATCCTCTCCTCGTTCCAGCTCCCATCCCCCTCGATGCAGCCAGGAATGGGTTCTCCATGAACTGGTCCATCAGATTAAGCACCTGGCTCAAGCTCTTTGTTGAAGAGAAAGGATCGAGCACGTCTGCCAATCAAATTGAAATAAAACATGGTGAGAAACCAAAAAGATTTACAGGGTCATCGAACCAAGTATGAATCACAAGTCAAAAAACTGGAAACTAAACAGGATAAACGATCAATGACTTATACAACTACCTGAGAAGAGATTAGGAACGTAATCACGACGGCGAGAGACAGGCTGGTCGGAGCGGCGACTGACATCAACACCATGCTCGTCATCATCATAGTCAAGCATCTGAGCCTTAGTATTGAAAGAGCGCACTGCGGGTGGAACAACCGTGACAGAACGGACTGGGTTGAGGAACTTGTTGAGGAGGCTTGGAGTAGCGGCTCTCCTTAATGCAATTGCGGAAGCCATTGGAGAATGCTAGTTTCGGGTATCGAACCGGAACGGAGTCAGCGAGAAAGAGAGACTGTATTAGTGAAGTCGTTAGGGATTTATTTCGATAATCTTGTCTGAAATTAATGGCGGAAGGGAAGTGTTTTATAAAGATGGCTTGTGGAAGGGAAGGAAAAAGAAGTGCGTAGAAGCTTCGAGAGCAGAGAAAGCTGTAGAAGGTTCTAGACTAAAATACAGAGATAAGCAGAGAGTGGGAGATTGGTTCATCGTGGTCGTGACGAGTTCGAATCTGCTCCTGAGGAGGCGCGCCTCACACCGATCTCAGGAATAAATTTTATAATTACGGAGATGTTTCAGATGCACGGATGAAATGTGCTGCGAGATTAGTGTGTGGCGCGCTATGTGAGCAGCAGATCTGAATTCGGTCGTGACTCGTGAAGTGAAGAGAACAAAACTTACGTTAAGAAAAAGAAGGTTTTAAGGCTTTAAGCTTATGCCTCATGCTCACGGTGTCAAACATCCAAAAATATCCAATTTGAAAAATATTTGGATGATGAATCACTGAAAACAGAACGCTTTTATTTTATATGATAGAGTAAACCAAATTAAAGATACAAATTCAAAACATGAGCCCTTAAAACCCATCAAGGCCTAACTGAAGTTGGACTTGGGCCTAAGCCCAACTTCTCAAGCAAGCTCTCTGATGGGCCTAACTGAAATTGGACTTGGGCTTCAGGCTTTAGGTCTCTCAGCAGAGTTTGGGCTAACCGATTCCCTTCACGTACCAACTAGTCACTTATCTCTTGATTGTAAAGTCAATTAGATTATTTTTATACCCTTACCTCACTCAGCATGTGTTTGAAACTGTAGACATTTATTGACTAAACGTTTTGTATTTGATTTATTTGAAAAACTGAGAAAAGTAATGATGAATCTGTTTATTGACACTTGGGTGCCACATCAACAAAACAATGAATAAACACCTATCCGTTAGGGGAAGTGCTAAAATGAAGTTTCCCCTAATGGTAGGCACGCACATAAACCGAAGTCTATTTTTGCAAGTCCCTATGTGTATGAATTCACTTAATGGGGGAAATGCTGAAGTGGCACCTATGTGACAACGTTTATTCAATAAATGCCAATGATTCCAAACACACGCTCAATCCCTGGTCTACATTAATAATAGACCGGTGAATAATGTTTTAAAGACTGACCCGGAACTGAAACCGCTTTGGCCACCATTTTGACTGTTTGGTTCGAATGTATAATCCATTTCAATTAAAAAAAATAATTAACATAAAAACGGTCAAAAACTATTATCTAGGTCGAATGAATCGACAATTCAACCACCCAAATTAACAGTTGCTGACCAAATCAATGGTTTTTGACGAAAAAACAAATTAAGGATGAAAATGAATTGATTGTCTATACAGTTTCTAGGCCGAATGGCCTGATCGTCAGGATCAATGATGGTTCGAAAACCATGCCAGTGGTGATGAAATTTCTTTTCAAACTAAACTTTAGATGACTAATATATATTTATGAGGATAATAACCAACACATGGTGGTGTATACGGGTGATTTGGATTAAGGATAAAATGTCTAGCCGATTGAGAGGGCCCTCTATGTGATAAGATGGTTCAAGAGAGCACGACACATCTGCTGGTCACAGTACTTTGTTGTCGAGTCTGATCTGTTTCTCAAACAATGCTTCTCACATTGACTTCAGTGTATGTCTTGGTTATACATCTCAAAGCATTTCTTGCGCTTGTATTATTATTGGGATGTGGCTATTAGGTCAGTGTAAGGAGCGCTTTACGAGTAACAGATCTTAATTCTCTCTTGCCAACCTAATTTTATTGGTTGTAAAAAAGTTAGACCTAAAATTAACCCATTGCAAATAGAACTTGTTTTGAGTGTTTTGGGTTGATCATATACATTGACAGACCATACAACCGCTCAGGTAATTGGTTTCATTTCACCCTAAAATTGCTTTTTAATAAAAAATTATTGATTTAGTCAATGATTCGTTAATCTAGGTGGTTGAATCATACAATGGTTTTTATCTGCTTTTTATTTTATTTTTATTTTTTAAATTAAAACAAATTATCTCGTTCAAACCAGATGGTCGAACTATTCAACCCAGGAACCAGTCCCTAAAACGGTTCCTTATCTACTCCCATTTTAATCTAATTGGGCTGGTTTTTTCCTAGTTGGGAAATATGACAAGTTTTCATCAAGCCTTGAATTTCATGTTATGAGGATGTTTCCACGAGTGATGCATTACATGTGATGGAATAATGCAACATCGTGATAATGCATCATGATTTAAAGGGTATTTGGTACTGATGTGTTTTCAATTTTCATTTAGCCTCCAGTTTCTCATACCCAACTTTTCTTAAAATTCCACTAATTAGTTATACTAATTATTAGTTACAAAGATGCATATATGAACAATCAAACCGATGAGAATGGATTAGGGCATGAACCCTAATCATGTCCTCCTCTCCATGGTGGCTCCCAAGGATGATCCCCTTCATCCTCTCACAAAATCTTCTTTTGCTTCTATTCTCTCTAAACTTTCTCCATTGCCTAAGCCGATTTTGGATCCCAATAATTGAGGCTAGCCTCAAACAAGGTGAACCTGTTGTTTTCTCTTTTGAGTAAGTTTTAGAGAAATCTTATGATATCCTACGTTGGGTGCTCATCAGCAAGTGCATGCATGGCCAACCCCCCTACCAGAAAATAGGGAATTCATCTATAAAACTTTTAATATGAAAAACATGGAATTCATGTACAAAACTTTCAATATGAAAAAGGGAAAATTTCTGATTAGTACCCTGTACTTTGGTTTGAGTGACAATTTGGTCTCCAAACTTTAAAATGCAACAATCCATTATCCGAACTTTTAAAATGTGACAATCCAGTATCCAAAATTTCAAAATGTGACAACCCAGTACCTACCGTTAACCAGTCCGTTAATCATCCGTTAAGTGACATTTGAAAAGTCAAAAATGCCCTTTGAATGCCATCTAATTCTCTTTATCAACCATCCAAATGTTGTAAAAAAACTGAACAGTTCCAAATCCTAGCCTATTCTATTCAAAAAAGTTGGTGAATGTTTAGAAAAATCTAGAATTTGGGACTATTCATTTTATTGTCAATGTTTGGATGGTTGATAAAGAGAATTAGATGGCATTAAAGACATTTTTGACTTTTCAAATCACTTAGTGGATTTTGAAAGTTCACTTTTCAAAAAGTTGGTTAACGGCAGGTACTGAATTGTCACATTTTGAAAGTTCGGACATTGAATTATAGCATTTTAAAATTTGGGGACAAAATTGTCACTCAGGCCAAAATACAAAGTACTGGTTAGGATTTTTCCCTATGAAAAATGAGGTATGGGTGACTACTCTTGATTTGAAACATATTTTGATTAGATTTGCTGGGGAAGATGACTTCTTGTTGTAAGTCTGGCTGAGATATGCTTTTGAAATTAAAAGTTTTATATTCGAACCTGGTTGGGAGCCATCTATGGTTTTGGTTTGGATTAGCTTTCCATTCCTTCAAGTTAATTTTTACATTGAAAGCATCTTGCGATTGATTGTTTTAGCAATCGGTCCTGTCCTGACGTTTGATCAAGCAACTATTACCCTTACCAGAACGATGTCAGCTAGGGTTTGTGTTGAACTCGATATGCTCAAACAACACCCAATGACCCGAACATAATATGGACTAACTTTGGTTGTGATGGTTTTCGACAATATATCGTCTATGAAAATCTCCTAGAGTACTATCAAAATTGTTGTAAGGTCGGATATGCAGCTGTAGTCTATAAACACAATAAAACCAATAGACGATCTGGTGAAAATAAGCTTGATGTGGTGAAAATGAGAAGCCTGGAAAAGATGATACAAGGAAAGTTTATGCCCTAGTGAAGCTGACAATGCAAGACAAAGTTTCGATCCCGAATGGTTCTTCAAAAAACCCTAGTGGATCAGATTCTGTAATTGATGGCACAGATCATACCACCACTATTGCTGAAATAGGTGTTTCCTATGAGATTGAGAATACCACTATTATGGGGGAAGATGGTGAAACTATTAAAGCCAATATGGTTCATTGTCAGAGTCCAAAAGATGTTCGACAAAATGTCAACATAAAATCAGAAAAGAGGCAAGAAGATCAAAACACGGAAAAAATATTGCTCTTAGTGAATGAAATGCTGGAATGATTAAGGTCTCAGTTGTTCTCAATGAGGACAATCCTGTTCATAACCAAGCAACATAAATACAAAGGGTTTCAAGGTAGACAGACGACCAAAATCCATATCTTGTGTAACCTACTGTGACAATTTTTTACTGGGTTGATTTGATAATTAGTGTGGAAAAAAGGTGCAAGAGAAAATTAGTTTTTCTCATCATTTCAAACTACAAAGAGAAGTTGAAGTAATACACACAACTATTGATGGTTATGTAGCTACTCTCGTGGAGGTAGGCACTTGTAATGTGAGAACCCAATTGAGAGTGATACATCAAAAGAAAACAATGACCCAAATCAAGGTTGGTTGCCGGTGGAGAATAAGAAGAAAAAGAATTCTAAGTTTAAAAGGTCCATAAGTCATTCCAATTAGAAGAAGTTCGAAGATTGTTAAGAATATACAAATGTTATCATCCTCGCTATTCGTGGTTTTGATTTATTTCTTGGTCTTATCTCTCGCTGGTTTATAGGGCTGTTGCTCCTTGTATATTAAATTGGGTTCGAAGATTCAAGAACAAACCTCTCTATTGCCCTTTAAATTGGGTTATGCCTTTGGGAATGCTGGAGGAAATATAGAAATGGTGTTTTCCCTAATAGGGGGTATTTGGGAATGCTGGAGGAAATATAGAAATGGTGTTTTCCCTAATAGGGGGTATTTAAATGGTGTTGCCCTTTAAATTGGAAGTTTTCATATTTTGGGCTCAGGACCACTTGTTTGCATTTGTGAAATATGTGCTTATTAAATTTTGAATTTATTTTTATTTTTAAGTGCTTATTTCTGTCACATCATTTTGAAACTACCTATATTGCTCCTATTCCAAATAGTACTTTTTCATCAAATGCTCATGAGCACTTATATTTTAAATAAATACTCCCAAATTCCGCCTAAAACCACAATAAACAATTGCACAT